ACAGCAATCATTTAAACAACTTGACAACCATGGATTCAAACTGGCGAAAGTCGAATTAAAGTAATAATTAAAAAAATGACTTTAAAAAAGGAAAGTCTGAAAGACTCAGATTTTAACAGTCATCCCAAAGGATTTGTTAACTGAAATCGCAGTCTACCACTCCGCTGTTGCACTTACTCCTGCTAACCCATTTCTTTTTGTCTTTTTAGTTTTATGGGCAGGTTTTAAACAGGAAAATGACAAAAATTTAAAAAGCAGCATGTGTTTAGAATTCCCGATAAAGTGTTAAGTGTTGGCATACATTTTTCAGTGTTGGCATACATTTTTCAGTTAAGTGTTGGCATACATTTTTTTTTTTCTGCCTTAAATGACGCATAGGTTAAAGTAACTAATATAAACTAAGTATAAATAAATATTTATACTTAGTTTATATTAGTTATACAAAACAGGCATTCTTTTTACCATTATTACTCCATCGACAAATTACAATTTTATGAGGTTTTTAAGCTATAAATTTAAAATAACTGTCTTATACTGCACAGCTTCAATATATTTAAATAAGTGTATTACAGTAAAAATATCATATAATTTGTTTCATTTGATGATTAATGTGAATCATTTGTTTTAAACATTTTAGCATTTCCTAAACGTATTTTTCTGTTCTCTTAACAAATAGCATATTATGCAAAAGCATAACAAATTTGCATGAATTAATTATTCCAGTTCATAAAACAATTATTGTTAACAAAGCTGACGTAAAATCTGTATTACTCACTTCTGAGAATATTCACTATACTATGACCTTCACAGCAATGCTTAAATACTATTCGTAGCTCTTACGATAAACTGAATGAAACTCGGCTGTTTATGCGTTAAAATATACAAGCTCCTTTATTTAATCAACCCATATGGGGAGTAAACACTTATTGTATACTGACATGAATGATACAACATGAATCACTTATTGTATACTGACTTATTGATACTGACATGACATGAATGAATGATGATACTGACATGAGTGACATGAAACACTTATTGATACTGACATGAATGATATAATGGAAGTAAACACTTATTGTATACTGACATGACAGTGATAATTAATATATAATAATTGAAAATAAATTTTAAAATTATTATTAAGAATGAAGCGATTATCGACGAGAAAAATACCAGAGATACATGAACTTTATAGAAGTGCACGAGAAAAATCAATGAAAATTTTTTGCTGTCCACAAATTTCTACAAACAGACAATGAAATCGGGGCATTTGAAATTGTTTTAATACGATTTTTCAGAGCAAAGCTGCGGATTCGGAAAATGTGTTTTGATGTAAATATGAAATAACATTAGATATAGGCATTCTTGCTATCCTTCTCCTTTAATATAAACATGATTCATTTTTTTATTTAATTTAAATAATATGAAGATATCATGTTTTACAATGCATACTTTCAAAAAAGTTATTAATTTAATCAATCTAAATGAATCTGTACAACGCACAGAGCCGTTACCGTTTTTGTGGTGAATCCAGGCATTTGAAAATGAATGGGGCACATATACTGTATGTATAAGAATTTGGAACGTAATAAAAATGTTTAGGAGAAGCAGTTATGAGATTAGTTTCAGATATTAAAATCTGATGCTTTACTTTCTTTAAAGTACTTCATTGTTCTTTAAACTGGTCTTTCTTTAAAGTTTTCATTTGATTTCTTTATTGAAATCAGAAATGATTTCAAACTGTTAAAATGTCAAAAAGGCATCAATACATCTTTTAGCAATGATGTTATAGTTTTTTCACTAGACGGGAATTAAAGAAACAGTTTCCGTAGTATACTTTTAACTGAAGAGAAATAGATTATTTGATTTCTTTAATATAACAAAATGAAAACACAATGTGAAATGAAATATGAAAACACGTTTATGCTTTTCATTTTAGAAACTATGCAATTAAAACTGAATTTCAGTTATGTACTCAAGTTTAAATTGAAATTGGCTGTATTTATGAAAATAAAAGTAATTCCACTACTTAATTTTGTAGGAATAACTTTACAACATTTGTTAAAATTAAAAACAACGAAAATATAAAACTCCTCCTCTTACATTAAAAGAAATATTTGTTTGTCCCACAGTATAATGCAGCACAATTATACAGAGTTTTCAGAACCTTCGATTGACTCTTGAGGAATTGGCTTTATGTTATGAAATTTCCAAACAAATTTATTTGCTTATTTAAATGCGGCAAAGAACTGAAGTCTGCCCCAATAAAAAGAATTCCATGAAGTTATATTTTACCTGAAAATCAGTGTTTCTTCCCTGTTTGGCAAAGACTTTACTTTAATTCATCAGTGTTTTATAATATGCGAATTTCCACACAATGAAATATTTAAATTTCTTTGCGAAAGATTCCTTTCTTAATTTTTCTAAGCTTTTCAAATAAGATTGCAGAAATTAGTATCGTTTCAATGTCTATTTCTGCAAATGATACATTAAAGCAAAACTAGATGTGATAAGTTTAGATAATTAAATTAGACGTAATTGGAGGATTAGATGTAATTTTTAAGTTTATAATAACAAAATAAAATATCTTGTTTGCAGAAGTGAAATATATTAATTTAAAATAAAATTATTATTTCCAATAAAATTTATTGGTGAAGCTTAAATATACATTTGGATTTATAGTAATTTTCACTACATTTATAAAATTGTTTGCAATAGATTAAATTTTCTTAAAATAATATTTTAAATTCGGTTTCTTTATAGGATGAAGTAACTTGTACTTTTAGAGACAAATTACTATTAATTTATACTCTTTTGTCACAAGTAAAGTTTTAACTTCCTTCATATATAAATAACGATGAAATGTAATTTCCTTATTTTTATATTGTTATCATTTAAATAATATATGTATATATTTAAAAATTAATACCATAAATATATTCTCTTAATCTCTCAAGTAACAAATACTTTTGCACAGGTTTTCATGTTTTTCTTAAGATATAAATTGAATACGAATTAGTTTCCTTAATTTGTGAAAAGAAAAGATATGATATAATAAATTTTAAAACTAATCTCAGAAATTTACATATAGGAAACATGTAGAAAAGTTCAGTGTTTTAAAGTAATGCACCATTTGTAAAGTTATAATAATTAAAAAAAACGTGATCTATATAAGTAAAATGGGGTTATGGAAGTATTGCATCATTTATAATGCAGCGTCAAGTACCACGCATGGGAAGTAAGTAATTATTTTGCGAATAATTTCGAAAAATAGCTAAACACGATGAAAGTACTGCAGTAAAATCAATTCTTTTTTCACATTATCTTTTAACATTAAAAACAACAAAAAATGAATTATATCTACTAAATAAACCTGACTCCCTAAATTAAAATTTCTAAGCAGTGAGACAAAAATAAGTTGACTTCTGATAATGGCCCTTTCTTCCGCACTCTTTGTAATACAAATAAAAGTTAATCTACTGCCAGTATTTCTTTTTGTTCATAGCATTTAAATTACGCTTTTATTATTACATATTAATTATTACTGATATCATTCACTTCAATGTACAATAAACAGTGCTTACCTGAAAATGTAGCACAGACGATGTATTCGGTGAACAGAACTAAAAAAATGGTTGCGAAAATCCTTCAGACAAACAAACGCTATGCATACAACAAACTCTTTCGTCAGCCTCTGGATACAGTAGAATGTGAATCCATTAACCACAGAATATAGTTCAATGATTTCGAAGTACCACATCAATAAAAACATGCTAAAAACTGTTAATTTTTTTTTAATAAAATAGAAATAACTAGAATTGCAAGCTATTAGCATAAAAGAATCATTTATTTAGAAAGGTTTACTGAAACACATATCAATGAATCGGGGGGGGGGAGGTTAGCGTGCAAGAATATCTGCCATTAAAGAAGAATTACGCGAGCAAGGTCAAGAAAGGTAACAGTAGGAAAGACTGCAAATTTCTTGTCGCATTAAACGTTTGCTGCGATGTGTATGTGACATCCGTGTGACATTCACATCCACATCACAATGCGACGTTGTACCGTGGTTACAAATGTAATGTGAAGAAAATGCAACATTGAGAGGTCACTGCAATGTCATAGCAACTAAGTGTGCTGTATGGAACATATCCTTGAGTGCCTGGAGTTGTCTCTTGAGGACCTTTACAAGTCTCCTAAGCGTATTTTCGATTTTCTGAAAGTAAATGGACTCGGGGACCTCGTCTAGTATATTCCTAGACATGGAGATTAGTAACAACAACAACAACTTAAGATCCAAAATTGTGTCCGTAGCCAATGTGCAAGGTTACTTACTACAGTCTTGTCTATTGACCTTGGCCAATGTGAAGGACAATGTGTCTATTGACCTTGGCTAATGACAATGTACTGACTTTAGCCATGATGTGATTCTGTAGCACCCTCCAGTCAATATAGTGGTTAGTAAGGCTGTCTGTCATACTGATGGGACCAATTTTGAATCCCAGAGAAGGCATGGATGCTTGTAAGCGTGTAGTGTCTGTGTGGCAAGGGGGCACTCAAAATACATGACAAGCCAGAAGTCCTCTTGAGAGGTTAATGGTAGGGAAAAGAGATGGGAGAATGTCGGACTGCTCTCTAGGGCAGCCTTCCTTTTCCCTCATTCTTGGTATGAAATTGTACAGTTAGTGCAGCAGGACTACTGCTTGTACGACCAGTAGTGAAATTCTGGTGTCCTGCCCACTTCTACTTGAACCTGTACCTATGATACTCTAGCCGGAAGGTATTTGAAAGTAACTTGTAAGAAGAATGTCTCAAATCAGTTCTGTCATATTCTTATTTTTAGTAAGATATTCTTTGGATTTCTGTGGAAAATATTTTTTAAAACTTGTCATAATTTTATTATGTTTGTTGTTTCATATTTCAGTATGTTTTCATGTTAAATTTTTGCTTTTAAAATTTATTTAAAAGGAGAACTAAAGCAGTATTTCTTTTCAATCCAGTTACTAATACAGATTGAAAACCATTTATACAAAAACACCGAACATCGAGCCTCATTACTAATTGCAGTCTGGACATGTATTGCTGGAAAAGTTGGGTACTTTCGGAACATCGAGAAGGTTTTCCATATGCTATATCGGTATGTTTTATATTTATAAATTTATAAATTGGAAAGCTAATCTATTTGTTTAATATACTGACTATATAGCATTTTTGAAAGCTGAGGTTCCGAAATGTAAATAATCTATGCATAGTTATTTTTAAATAATTTGTAACTTTTGATGTGTTAACATAATATACAGTTAACATGTCTGACCTTTAGCTTTTGTATTTTTAAGAAAAACTAGTAAGGCATAAATACTACTGATATTCATTATGCTGAATGCCATATATAAAGATCTTTTGAGAATTGTTCCTGCATTTTGCTTGAAACCAAAAAGTAATTCTGTTCCTGTACTGATGTACACTGGAGAGAAAAATTAAAAGAACTATAAAAGAATTCTTTATAATGATTCTGTTAATTGAAATCCAAAAGTAAGTTGTTTGTTGTCAGTCAAGATCTGTACTAACACAGGGTATAAAATATGCTACCAACGATTCAGGAAAGTGAACATTTAGTGTATTTAATCCAAAGAAAAACAACCTTTTTTTTACAGCTAAAAAGAATTTCTATCTTTAATTCTCTTCACAACACAAACAAAAGTTACACATGTTGTTACACGCAAACTTGATGGAAAACCACTAGATGGGGGGGGGGGAATTATTAAAGCATGAAGTTGAAACTTCAGATGTGGCATCCTCCCACTTTATTTGTTGGATTCAGCTTAACCCAGGTGGAACTTACTAAAAGTTTTTAATTTTTTAGAAGTCCAGTCTCTGGGAGGGGCTTTTTTCTACTAATTTTGATTGTAAGCTTCTTCATATTGGGTGGGCAAGTCTGGTCCACTAGGATTTTCTTCATTTATGTCTTCAGTTCCTCCATTTCTCACAGGGTTTTCAAGTATTGCTGAACATACTTCAAGAGTAAATATTCTCTGTATTGGCCTTAAGAGTATGTCTCTGTTTGTCTTGATGCTAATGCTCTACTAGGAAGCAACACCATTACATTATCCAATGACCGTTCAACACATTTTGTAACATCATTTCCGATTAGTACCATGTCACTGAGTCTGATTTTTTTTTTAACTATATTTCTCATGCTTATTTCTTTGAATTAGAAGTCCTAAATATTCAGACCTAAATCTTTTCCAAACTTTCTTGATCAGTTTTTGTTGATACTTTAGCCTTTTGTTGAGAAAATTTTCATCAGTTTAATCGAAGGCTGAAACGTCTGTTTGCTGGAAATCAGTTAAGAAGCTCGGGAATAACACAGTATCTTCAACAAAGCAAGTTAACTTGCTGGAAAGTAGGTGAGAGGTCATTAGTTAACAAACATTAAAACAGTTGACATCTGTTCATAACTAAGCAAAGCCTTTCCTAATACTTTCTTGAGAACTTGCTTCATAGTACCTATGAACCATTCCCCAAAATCTCCCATCAGGAGCAACTGGGGGATTGAAAAGCCACTGAATCATTTTTGTTGTGCTATACTGCAAAATTTCATCCCAGTTCACAAATTTGAAGTTGTTAAATGCTCCTACAAAATTAGTGTTGTTATCATACTACAGAGCAAGAATCCGCCTCTTCATGCAACAAACTGATGGAAACTATGGAGCTATGTTGCTGTATTCAGAGATGACAAGAGTTCAAAATTAACTGCATGATAGGCAGCGTATTTGTAAACACAAATCCAAAATTTACTTCCTCCCTTTAAATATGCAGGACCCGCCTGTCAGTCCTGACAATTTAAAAAACAGTGGAATCCTCTGCCATGTTTTCTGGTAAATACAGTATATAAACACAGTATAGTCACAGGGCTTGGAGAAGTCAGTTTCCGTTATGTCTTGTGCAGCATATTTGGATATAATTGACCTTATAGGTTTTTTTTTGCATTTAGAATACAGTAATGCTCCCTTAATATATTGAGCAAAATCTGGGACCAGCATGACAGTTTTTATAATGTTTAGTTATTATCAGTCATTTAACAATCTCATGATCTGGAGGCAAAATCACGGGATTTAAAAAAATCTAAGGATCTTTTCTAAAAGTGATCTTTGTCTTGAATCTGAGAAGACCCTCGTCATCAATATATGTTAATAATCTCCTCAATTTCTTAAAAGTGTCTGTTGTAAAAGCTTCATGCTGAATAAATTTCATAACTTGCTTCTCAGCTTCTTGTAAGTTCTTAATATGATAGTTCCCCAGGATGTATAAAGATTTCAACAATTAAAAATAAATCTTCAAAGCCAAGCTATGTGCATATCATTTTGTGATAGTTAAAAAAATAAATGATAGTAGCATTTTAATTCACTAAGTCAATATTCTGCACAAGTCATATTACATATATACATGTTACGGAAGACGGCGATGCCTGCTGTCTAACATAGGTAAACAGGCGTATGTCCCATGCCCTGCCCTATCTAGAGGCAACAACTCCCTGGATCCCCCAACAGACTGTGTCGGGAGTTTATTGAGACATGAAAAAGGTTGTACATGTCCAAACAAGGGCACTCGTATTTTGTTTTACAGATTTGGAGAGACTTTGACTGAACAGAAATGGCAAAGAAACAAAAATGTTGCAAAATAAAAAAAGGGGGGGATGGGGCAAGAGCAAGAATTAAAACATGCAAAGAAATATAATTAAGGCATGTGTTGAGCTGAGCTGCTAGGATAATGACCTCAACTGGCATGTGGTGCACAATAAGTTGAGTTTTGTGCTAGGAGTTAATAGGGCATAGATTGCACATGAGGTTGTCCACGGTTGCATAGTTCACATATGTAAACATTTTGCACATGTGTATAGTCGCAATTAATTCGCTGTTTGCGCGCATTGTTCATATTTTGCACACAATTTACAGTTGCTTAAGGTCTCTGTTTGCGAACGTGCACTTATAAGCTCACAGTACACAGATTGTTGCGAGAATTTTGACAGAGGAAACAGGAGGGTGCAGCTGGCTGTGATTGTAGTGTTACAAATAGTGCCACGTAATTGCACGTCCACCATAGAAAGAAATAGCACCTGTTTGAGACCTGCGTGTTTCTGCTGTAGTTATCATCTTGTTATCAGCTGTTGTCTTCATCAGTTGTTGTTATCTGCATCACTAAACAACTTCAAACTTCTATCATCTTCATTATTGTACAAAATGCCGTGTCCTGTGGTATTGCGAAGGTACCTTAATGCTGTCTGTACGATTTCCCAATCAATCTCTGCAGGATTGTTCAGCTTTCAAGACATCAAACTCGCTACGTAAGCAATATCCGGCCGAGTCCCCATCGCCAAGTACAGCAAACTGCCAACTACTGAACAGTATGGAATTTCACTGCTAAGAGGCTTCACCTCCTTGATCTTGATCATGCTGTCATCATTCGGTTGACCATATTCGACCTTGAGACTCAATTTCTGTACTGGGATGGGTGATGTCTTAACATATCCATATTGCTCTAATATCTTTCTTGTAAATGCTTCTTTGTGCAGGAAGAGGGAGCCGTGTTTCAAACGTTCGACTTGTAGACCAAGGAAACAATTTAACTTCGTTACTCGAATGTTAAAATGTTGCTTGAGCTCGTTCATAAATGTGAAGAATGCTGCTTTGTCCTGAACAGCGCCAACGCCATCATCAACATAAATCACCATTAGCATCTTATGTCCATAATCATTTCGTATGAACAGGCAGTTGTCGGATTTACCTTGTATCATGCCATGTTTCTTCAGCATGTCAGTAAACTTGGCATTCCAACATCGTCCAGCTTGTTTCAAGCCGAATAAAGGGCGAAGCATCTTACATACACTGTTACTTCTGTCGTTATAGCCTTCGGGTTGATGCATGTAAATCTCCTCAGTTAGGTCACCGTAAAGGAATGCCGTCTCCACGTCAATTTGATCCGTTGCAATTAGTGCTTGAATAGTGTCATAGAGACACACCGGGCTAAATGTGTCTTCGTAGTCGATATTCACCATCTGGATGTACCCTTTTGTTACTAAATGAGCCTTGAATCTCAATTGAGGCATCGGGATTTGTCTTCACTCTGTAAACCCAGCGATTGTCGAGGATTTTACGTCTGGTTGGTGGCTCAACAAGTTGCCATGTTCCATGTTTGGCATGCAAACACATTTCTTCGTCCGTATTCAGGAAACTTCGTTTCATCGTCATATGTTTTAGGCTCTTCCAACTTCAGAATGCTGTTGTACACATCGTAGTTATTAAATCTGACAGGCCGTTGGATAGCTGAATGGTCTCGCAATGTACGTGCGGTCATTTGTGTTGGTTCATCTTCATCAGTGCACAGAGCACCAGCCCCTTGTGTGTTTGCATCATTGTGTGTATATTCCAAAATAAACTTCATACCACTTTATAGACTGGTGTTAGATGCTAATTTTGAAGGTTGGGAAGTAGGGCCAATTTGCTGTTCATTGAACACTGCATTGGCACTTTTTATCATATCATTCCTTGATGGTATGAAAATGTGATACCCATCATCATCACAATAACCAACCAAATAGCCCTTTATAGCCTTGTCATCTAATTTACTTCTGTTGACATTTGGTTTATGTGCAAATGCAGCTGATCCCAAAACTCGAATTCTCTTGATTGCCGGCTTGCATCCAAACATTTCTCAAATGGACATTTTCCAACTAGGACTCGTAGTCTTACTTAATCTGGTTCGATTGAGAACGTAGACAGCTGTAGATGCTGCTTCTGCCCATAGGAACTGTGGTAGACCTGAATCCTTGATCATAGTGTAAACTGCATTCATTATTGTACGATTCTCTCTTTCAACCAATCCGTTTTGTTCTGGTGTATATGGCATAGTGATTCGCAGCTTGATGCCTCTATCATCAGTCAGTTTCACCAATTTATCATTGGTTAACTCACGATCGCCATCTGTGACCAGTTCTTTTACATTTATAACATATTTGTTGGTCCAAACAGGAAACTGCTTGATTTTATCCACAGCCTCATCTTTATGTCTTAGAAATTCTACATGCCGAATAATAGTAGAGTAATCGTACTTAATCACTAATATGTACTTCTTTCCACCTCTTAATAAGTCTGCATGTATTATCTTACCAGACTTTTGGGTTTTGAATCGTTTTGGTTTAAATATTCATCGACTTTGTTTACCATACGCACATGGCTTACAAAATAGTCCATCGTTGATAAAATCTATACCATTTTCACACAAGTACTCTTTCACGTGCTGTATTCCTTGATAACCAAGTTGTCGATGCCAAAGTGATAATGGCAATTTTGTCGTCGTCTTCATTGCCGTCTTATTTCGTTGTCAACCAAGTAGGCTGCAGCAGCAGAACCCCCTTGTGGTTTGACTGGTTTTGCACCTAGTTCAAAGAGTCCTTTTAATGAACATGTGGCTTCTAAAAGTGTTATCTGGGGTCTCCTTGCGAAAGAAATGACAAATCATATCGTCCGAATCACCAAAGTTTGAGATTCCTTGATTCATTGCCTTTGAGGCTGATAACAATTGATTTTTTTGCCAATTTCTGGTGCGTACAGTACATCAGTAAGCTCAATAGATTTTTGTACGTTTCTAACCGTTGCACACATGTCAATGTCCCCGCAGCCATATGCTGGTATTGTCTGTTTGTTACCAACTGTGATTTATGCTTGTTTGTTAAAGTGACGCTACGTCTTGAAATACTTAGCTGAATGTGTAATGTGTGCTGAATACTTAGCTGAATGTGTCCATCGTCTTTAAGCCACACATTTCGGTCACAGTCGTCTTCTTGACAAGCAAACACACTGCATTGAGTATTTGCAAAGAAGGTCTCTGTTTTGCCAATCGTCGCGGGTGGCATGTCAGGGGAAAATGGGCAAAATTTACCAATGTGCGCAGGTTTATTACAATAAAAACAGATGCCATTGAAACCTTTCACACCATCACTTTTCTTACTAAGTCTGTTCATCGTTTCGGCATTATTTGTTGTCAAGGGTTAGGATTGGCTGACCATCTGAGGTTTCTTACCACCCTTCTTCCATTTTTTTCCACTATATTTTGCACTATAATTAGCATTTGCCACAAATGTTACTGTACTTTCGTTTCTAACCGTACTTTCGTTACTACTGTACTTTCTTTGCAGCCGCATGTTGATCTGTTCCATCAGTTTTTCAGGTGACTTTTTCGTCTTTGGCATTGAGTCCCACTGTGATTTGAACTCGATATATTCGTCATCAGGAAGAATAGATAAGATTCGCAGTGCTAGAAAGTTCTGCAGCAACTTTCCTTCGCCGCTCAACTCTTGCTCACGTTCAAGATCCACCCATAGTATACGTAAACGTGCGAGTGTTTGCATTACAGTTTCGTCTTTCTCGATCCGAAAAGTGAAAAATGTTGCAGAAGAGTGTCCAATTTCACGCTTGACACCTTCTCAAAATTTCTTAATAACTCATTCCATATCGCTAGTGCAGAATTACCATGCATACAGATCAAATTTAACACATTTGGTGATACATTTGTGCAAATGATCACAGCAGCATTCGCCTTTGCATACGCATTTGCAGCTTTGTTGTACTCGCGTATCGTTTTTTCATTCATGCTTTCTGCCGGAGCTTTTGGCTCGATAAGGATTTACCTCTTTGTGGATCACAGGGGCTTTATGTTTTACGATCTGCAATTGAAGCAAGCTTAAAATTCAAAGAGTATTTCCTCTTAGAATCTAACTTATGCGATACTTGGGGGGGTACAAGAACTGAGTCAAAAAATCACAAGCAATATTCTGTGAGACTGTGGTTGGGAGAAGCACATATTCCTTGTCCTAGTTGGGTGTTAAAATATATTGCTGTTTTACAACATGGGAGTCAGGGAATGTCTCTTAATGTGTAATTTCCATTATTAATGTGTAATTTCCATTAAGGTAGGTTCAACTGTAATACTTTTCACGAGATTAAAATATCTGGAGCCTTGAAACTCTTTATTTTAGAAATGATGCTCATGTCACTCAAAATGCTTAGCGTAAATTCTTTTGATAACTACTGCAGTACTGCTGAATGGACAAAAGCATATTATGACATTTATTTCAAAATACTGTGGTTAAGTATAAAAAAATAACATGAATGTATGTTGTAAAATATTTAGTTTGTGTGCAAAATGTGTTTTGTGTTTTATGAGTAATCCAGGTATATATAATACAAATTAGGAAGCTTTTTGATATAAGAGGAGAAATGTTTTTCTTCGTTGCTCATCATTTCCAAATCAGTTTGATTTTAATTGTAGTATTCAGTTTCCTATCATGTATTCATTGGGGAAAGGACAATTGTTTGCTTGCTTGGAGCAAAGATACGTTTTCAGTATTTTACTTGAAAAATTATGATAACATTTGTATACAATTGAAAAAAACTTCAAAATTTTACAGCATCTGATATTACCACAGTTCATGTAACTGTATAATGTATTATCTCTAGATATGGAGTTATTGATGTAGATAATTGCAAAAAGTAGAACGTATTGTAAATTAAAATATAATCTTTGTATGACATTGAGAGAGAATAGCATTTAATACTTATAAATGTTACAAAAAATATCCAATTTTTTTTTTTTTTTTTTTTTTTTGTTCCAGAGAAAGTGCCATGACCATTTTCTCTGGTCACTGGCCCCGGATAGATATACTTTTCAAAAGAGGCTTGGCTCGTTCTCTAATCCAGTTTTCACATTCAATGGGCAATTATGTGAAGGGGTCAGAAGCCCTTTGTTCAGCACTGGTGATGGCAGTATATGATCCATGGGGAGACCCTGTAATACGAAAGCTTCTGACGAAACAGCAGATAGACCAGAACTTAAGTATGTAGTTTTAATATTTTAAATTTTATATAAGCTGCAATAGATAATGTAGCAATTTGAAAAAGAGACTGATTATTTGAGACAAAAGAAATATCACTGTTTATCAGTTAAAAACTGGGAATGAAGGAACAAATTGTTTTTTAAAATAAATAAATGCCTGTGGTCAAGATTAGCAAAGCTTAAATTGCACTGTAGCCTGGCTCCATCACTTCTTGATTTTTGAGATAAATCGTAATTCTGGCCAGAGCCTTAATAAAAGAGCTGCAGGTATTTCTTTTATGTAATTGAAACACACATTTAGCTGAAAATTGTTTTAATCTCGAAAATTTTATTTTAGAAATAAAATGAAAATAAAATTTGATTCTAATATCTGAATGAATGTCTTTCTTTTCCTTGGAAACAAAACATTGAGGGAGGAAAATTTCCACTAAAGGCTTATTTTTCAGGAACTGCAATGAATTTGACAGCAGGTAAATTTCTTGTTCCAGTGCTAGTGTTTCCTTGTGGAAAAGAGCACCTACAGATGTTTTGGAATTGCGCAACCAAATACGGAGGGACCGAGATATTCACTTACTACTTTGTTCTCAGTTAACCCTCGGATTCGGAGAAAATTTTTTCTCCCAGTAACATTCTGTTTCATAGCTAGAATTGTATTGGCAGGGAATCATGGTCAGAAAGTTTAGTCTCTTCTTTTTTTTTTTTCATATCTACACATCTCTTTTAAAATTTCCTTTCATATTCTCATAGAGTTTCTTGTATTCTCTCTATTCTCATTAGTGGTGCTTTAGCTGTTTTACCCTTTTTTAATGGGTGTACTGGGAAAACAGTAATCTTTGTTTCTATCATCCCTTGAAATAGAACACTTTATTATACATTCAGGCGTAAGTTCAGCCAAAGCCAGCCTAGCCGAGCTATTTCTTAGTGTATGAGTGAAATGGTAATTTCAGCCGGAACTCCAAGTAAGAGCAGGTCTATTATTTTACTGTATTTTTAACTATTTATTATTAATTTAATAAATTATTAAATTTTTATTTATCTCTTTCCATTTTATTAAATATTAATTTTGATTACTTCATTATTTTTGTTTTAATTAGCTTATTATTTAATTATTTTATTAGATATTTATTTTTGTGCCTCTTTCTTGACGGTTTTCCGTAGGGCTCCGGCACATCTAATTTTAGAAGCCCTAAAGATTAGAGCATAAAATGAATCAACTTAAGCATGTATTACAATGTTATTTGAATATATGCATGGATATTGCTGAAATGAAACCTGAGCACCCAATGAAAATTGACTTACAAATTGCAGACTTAAAACAAGAAATCTAGTTTTGTGCTGACTTGTCATTAGTATTTTTTCTATTAATATTTTATTTAAATGTGCTAATTGTCTCCTCTCTCTCTCTCTCTCTTTTTTTTTTTTTGTCTTGAATTCTTTAAAAAAAAAAAAAAAAAAAAAAAAAAAAAAAATTCCTTTAATTTGTAGTTTGTATGCATATATTAAAAGCTTTTTTTATCAAAAATCTCTTGGCTTCTTTAAAAAAAAAAGGCTTTTTGACCTTTCAGTTTATTATATGTAACTTTAACTATATATGCCTCCCAGTAATTTCGAGAAATGGAAGGTGCTAAAAATTTCTCGGTGGCCAAAGGAAAATTGTATAAGACCAGAGAGAGAGGAGCATCAGGTTGTCAGTTTTAGTCAGCATCAGATCTCCATGTGAGCTTCGCTCTTTACATATGCTTTGCAATGCATTGTGTTTAATGTTCTTAGTAGTTTAAAGTGGTAATCTTTGATTGTCTCTGTTTTACTGAGAAGAGCTGTACAAAAACTTTTGTGGAAAGTTCTAGAAATATAAAGTGTTCCTTTTGTAAAAATAAATTTTATCAAGCTATCATCGGTTCTGTAAGTCAATTGAAAAGGGTTCATACATATTTCTGCAAATGGACATTAAGTACTTCCATTAAGAACTCGTACAGATGCAACATTGTTATAGTTCATAAGTTCTTGACAAAAAAAGGGGGGGGGATTTTTGTTTACCTAGTTCAGTTTATGAGAATATTTCCTACTTTGTAAAAATCAAAACACCTCTTTAATGTGTGCTAGTCTAATAATTTATTCATTACCAAGGAACTATAAAGAGGATTTTAAATAGCTCTCTTTTAATGCTTTTCCAGCATTTTGTGAGCTTTGTGATTGTTCAAAAATTGCTTATGGGCTTCAGAGGAAGTTATTTTGAATAAATTAAAATTAAATCAATTACTTCATTACCTTAAGTCTAGAATCAGTCTTTTTTTTTTAATTGCTGCATTTTGTAATTCATTGCCTTATGATGACATTTTTGTAGTTTAGTAAATGATAAAATAAGCCTTGTCAGTTACTCATAAACAATTTTTAAAAAAAATTTTAGTGCATGAATTCATAAGATCTGAGCCATGTGAATTATTGCTTATAAGAGTAGAATGCCTAGTCAATGCTCATTTTGAAGATGCAGCAATTCAGCTTTGTCGGAGTTACTTGCATTCAAAATCCAGTATGCCAGTTAATCAGGAAGTGGAGTACAGTGATGAAAACTGGAGGTGGACATTCATGGAATGGCTTCTTCGACTTCTGTTCCGAAAAAGAAAATTAAATGATCTTGTTGCAGAGGTAACTTCTTTCTAATGATAATAATATTGTGCATATTATAGATAGTTTTTTAAAGAATGTTTCCCTTTTATAATTATTTTGTTTGCTACTCAAATTTAAAACAGTTTTAAAGATTTTATGATACTTTGTAATGCTCCAATGTCTTTGTGACCAGAAATGGAGGTTAACTACTATATGCGTTATTATGATAATTATTCATACACCTATAATTAAAATTATACTCTGATGTTAATTATATGCACTACTTCAAATAAAAGGGAGATATATTATACACATTTATTACAGTACAAAATAAATTAAAATAATATGGCCTAACAGTGATGTTGTCTATTTCAAATAAAAGGGAGATATATTACACACATTTATTACAGTACAAAATAAATTAAAATAATACATTTAAAATCCATTCCATATTCAATTTGGAACAAACAATATTGGGGGCGGGAAGAATTGCAGTGGCAAACTATATGTAAGATTCAAAAATTGAGGGGGGGGGCGAAGCAGCTTACTTCTTTTGCTGCCTCCATAAACGTGATAAATTTGAATTTCTTCTTTTCATAATCATTATTATTGTTTATGCATATTTGGATAGTTATTTAGTAAGTGAAACTTGAAATGAGGTTAAATTTTAGTTAGCTGTTTGAAATTTTGTTGAGAAAAGCATCTGAACCCCAGCTGCTGTCAGGTTGTGCATAGGGTCTATATGTGATTTCAGTTTGAGATCACTGGCCTAAAAAAAACTACTTTTTTTTCTTTCTGCTTTAGACTTCAACATAGTTTTTAAATGAGCATTGAGAATAGCCTTTTTTTTTATTTTTATTTCATGTTTTAAAAAAGTGCAAAATATTGGTTTTTATAATCTGCAAAAACTTTATAACTGACCCATTTTTAGATCTGTAAATTTTAAAATAATGAACATCAAATAGTCAAAAAAAGTGAGCGCTTTTCAAAAATTCACCAAAAGTTTGGAAATTAAGTTATAATTATGCATATCTTTAAGTTATTCATTAAACAAAGATATATACACTGCACACAAAACAGAGGGGACAGTTCTATGTCTCCTGTTCTACTGGGCCGATTGACGAAATTTAACTTGCATTTTTCATGTCTCGAAAGTGCGACGTAGGATATGTATTAGATTTATATATAGCATTGTTCTAATATAGGTAATTTGACACAAAATTGGACTTTTTCTGAAATAACATACCATTTTTTCCATATTTCCATTCTACGACTCAAATTACACCAAACTACCAGGTTTTGTAAAAATCGCATGAGTAGTTTTTAAAAAATTAGCTTTCAAAATTTTAGCTCCTCAATGTTAATTGAGTTTGGTATATATTTATTAATCTCTCTTTTTTTACTAAACTTATTTGATTCTTCCTTTCTCATTTCAAAATTCAGGTTCATTCCAAATAAAATTCACTCATTTTTTATGATTTATTTTTAATAATTTTTATAAATGTTTCAAAATTTTTTTTTGAATCATAATCTATAAAATTTTTACCATCATCTTAAAGTAGACGTATTTCTAAGTACACCTGCAAAAAATTACAGTCTTTTTATTCAAAATTTCCGAAGATATACGGGAATTTATATATTGGTGCGTTTTGAAATTTGGCATATTTGTTGAAAGCTATAAAACATCAAATGTGGTTTAGACACTTTGCTAAAATTATTTTAAAGTGGGCACAAAGTGACTTTTTTCTGCTTATGTACAATGTAAAAGGTGCCTTTTTTTCTGCTCCGGCATAATGGGAAGGAAAGGAAAATTGTTTGCCATGTATTAAGAAGTTCGCCAAGTGAATTATTCTCGGTGCAAACTGAAAAAAAAAGGTGCCAAGATAAATTTTTGAATTTCTTCTTAAATGTCGCACCAAATTTGACAAAATTTAATATCTAGTGGCATAATTTGAGTCTTAGAATCGAAATATGGAAAAAAATTGGTATTTTATTTCAGAAAAGTCCGTTTTTGTGTCAAAATACCTATGTTAGAACAGTGCTATATATAAATCTAATATACATCCTAAGTCGCGCATTCGAGGCATGAAAAACATAATTTGAACTTTGTCAATCGACCCAGTAGAATGGGAGATGTAGAACTGCCCCCCCTTTTTTTTGCGCTGTGTAAAAAAAAATCTTTTAAACAATGAATTATAAAAAAAAAATCTAAATTAAATTCTAAAAGTAATCATTTTACCACATTGTATTATTATCCACAATGCTAATAAAAATTTTGACTAAGCTTATCAGGAAGTAGTTTAAGAAGTTGATGATAAACTTTCGATCATAGTAACAAACATCATTAGTGAACTAAATAGAAGCTTATAAAAAAAATATTTTACACTTCTAATTATTTCCACCCTTAGAAAATCATGAATTTATTGGTGACTGTGAGAAACTTTCACAAATGGCTTGGTGACTAATTTTTCTCCAAGCTGATTTACGAAAGGCAAATGTCATTTTGAAAATGGCCGCATACTACGAATTCCATAAAAGAGCAATCAGTCAATTAAATTCAAAAAGCCATAAAAAATTTGACTTAGGTAAGCTTATCAGGAAGTAGTTTAAAAATCAATGATAATCTTTTGGCCATAGTAATAAACACCATTTGCAAACTAAATAGAAGCTTATAAAAAAAGTATTTTGCTTTTCTAATTATTTCCACCCCCCAGACAATCACAAATTTATTGGTTACTGTGGAGAACATTCACAAACAGCTTAGTGACTAATTTTTCTCGAAGCTGATTTACGAAAGGTAAATGCCATTTTGAAAATGGCCTCATATTAAAAATTCATAAAAAAGCAATCAATCTGTAAAGTTCGAAAAGCCAGAAACGTCAGCAATAAAACATTTACATTTTTGGAGAAATCCTTCTGTAAATTTTTGACTACTACAAATTCAGTAAATAAAGTGAACAGGTGTTGTAAATGAGATATAGCTATCTTCAAAGCAATTTCCAGATTGTATTCAACACTTTGCTCGTAATTTTTCATAATGCATTTCTATAAAACATTTTTTATTTAGGAAGTGCAACTTCATAGAAATGAGTTTTTGCATTCTCTGTTGTTGGGTAAAGCACCATAATTCTGCAGAAATGCAGTGCTTTCTTCATCATCAGTTAACAAAGTCCCATTTTGGCTTGTTACAAGATAAACAAATATATTTAATAAAATAAAAAACAATAATAAAAAAGTGACTGTTTAATTTCAAAAGTTCTTATATTCACTGGTTTCAAAAAGTTAATAACTTTAAAACTGAGGTAACTCAAAAAGTATGTAAGCAAATTGAGTGAAATTTGGTAATAGTATTTATTAAATACAAAAATATTCTCAGTAGCAAGCATGATATTCAGAACAAGTACCTAGAAAAGCATTACAGGCCTAACAAAATGACGTCTTATGCTGTTCATGGTGTTATCAATGAGCTGTATGGGTAGCCCTGATTATTGATCTTGTAAAGCAGTTGTAAGCCCATATAGGGTTTGAAGAGGCTGTTGGAAGCCAGCAACTCACATACCAAGACCATCCCTTTCATGCTGAATAGGATTAAAGTGCATGCTGGCCATTCCATTTGGACTACAGTTTCCTCTTCATGAAATTAGTGCAGTAGCTGAGCAGTGTGAGAGCAGGCATTATCTGCTTGCAGAATGAAGGTATAGCCAATTGTGGCAGCATATGGACAAATAATAAAGTCCAGTATGACTTCTATATACGTCTTGAGTACTGAGAGTTTTTGTGGTAGCATGTATACATTTGTATGCTCACCTAAAGATATTTCTTCCCATGCAAAAACACTGCCTACTGCGTAAATATTTCTTTTAATTCAGATTGGACAGATTCTAATCTCAATCTTCAGTGGAGAAACCAACTTCTATTATAGTTTATAACAGTAATGTTTGGGGATTATATGTCATATGTAATTGGCAAATTTTTTTGTTTTCAAAAGTGGTACCATAATTAATTTACTTCTCAGCATAGCCAACATGCACTATGCGAATTTCTTAAAACATGCCTGTAAAAACCTGGAAAAGTTAGGGAATTTCATTCTCTTGTTTGAGTGGCAACCCTTATCTGGTCTCGTACCTAACATAAGATATATTAAAGCATCTAAAGCTTTTATATATAGTTTCAGTGTTTGGCTCATCTTCCTTTTACTTTTCAGTTAAGTTTTCCTTCAGGATAGAAGTTGACACTGTTTTGTAATCTTCCATCCCAGATTTGAGAAGGTTTTTTTTTTGCATAAGCTTGCTGACTAATTTTGATATTTCCATCTACAAGATGCTTAATTTCAAGTTTAAGAAAGCATACTGTTGGTTTAGTTGTGATTCTGAACCTCAGCATCAATTCTGTTAGAAATTGTTTAGGTTCTTGTAGATGTATTGATGCTACCAAACCATAATTTACAGATAAGCACACAATTAGTTTCCTGCCATTTTTGTTTCTTATATATAAGCATGAATCTGCTTCACTTGTCTTGAAGCCAAGCTGTGATATGAAATTTTCAAAATATTTATTCCAACAGCGTGATTCTTACTTTAATCCATATAAACTGCATTTTAGCTTTTAGACTTTATCAGAAGCATCATTATATCCTTCTGGTTGCTGCATGTGTATGTGTTCTTCAAGTCTTCCATATAAGAATGTTGAATATACTTACAAACTGAAGAAGATGCATTTTCTTGTTGGCTACAATATCGAGAATTGACCGGGCAGTTTCTAACTTTGTTAAACTAAACGTTTGATCGTAATCTACTCCACAATGCTGAGTAAACCTTTTAGTAACAAGTCTCACCTTGAATTTATCAATAAATACAGGCTTCTTTTTTTGATGCTATAAAGCCATTTGCATGTTATAGCTTTAGTAGCTTTTGGTAAATTTTCTAAATTCCAGGTTTCATTTTCCATCAGTATCTCTGAATCCATAGCTTCTTTCCAGTGTACACTTTGTCTACATTTGATTGCTTCGTCATAAGAACCAGGCTGTTCATAATCAGCAA